GAAGGCTGGCGGTTCAAACCCACCAGCCACTCCTCGGAAGGAAGGTTGGGCAATCTACTTCCGTAGTGATACTGCCTTGGAAACCCAAGGAGGGGACCCTATGAGTCAGGTCTGACTTGACAGCACACAACAGGTAGTTCATCATCTTTTGCTTCAAAGTCCTATTCCTAACAAAGGAATTTTGTACTATTCCTAGCTCTAGGGCCTGGGTGAAGGTCCCTCAGCCTTGGGCTTCAGCTCTGCCTCCTGTTCCAGGCCCTCTGGAGATGGAGGCTTTCTTTGACTCATGCAGCTGCTTAGGGTGATGAACCCAAGATCGACAGGTAAAATGGGACAATCCCAAGATCAGCATGCCGAGACTCGGCTAGATGCAGGATCCAGGTGTGCCAAAAAGTGACCTTTCTCAAAGCTTCTCCTTACATACTGGAAGCAGGCCACACCTGGAAGGCAACTACTCAGCTGCTCACAGCAGATTGCAGTATGGAGGTGATTACAATTCTGTCATGGAGAATAGCTATATCGAGCTGCCCAGCCATTCAAAACCACGGCCCAGCTAAGTTGACACACCACCTTAAACTACCACATCTAGTATTTTAAGTTAAATCAACAGAAAAATCTGGCTTCTGCATTTAGAAATAAAATGTACTTTGTAGGAATTCCTACAAAGTATTTCCTACTCTGGTTATGAGCACCTCTACTCACCTGGACGTTATCTCTTAGGTTCTGTGGACTTTACTTTGGTCTTGCAAATCTGGAGCCATCTCTATTCTCACAAGATCCAAAGATCAAGCCCAAATCATGTCCCCCTTGAATTTCTGTTTAGAAATATTGCTCTGGCAGGAACGTAGTAGAGGAAGTGTAGCAGGCAGGCAGATTACTGCGAATTTTATGCAGTTCTTTTAGTTAAAACCAGTTCAAGTCTCCTTGTAACTACACGGTCAAGTCTAAACATCTAACATGGGACAGAAGGCATGTCAGCATTGGGTCCTTCCTTCCTCTCCAGTAGTCTAACAGCCCTCCAACCCCTTAATCATGACAAACTACATGAAATTCCCCGATATTCTTGATCTGCAAGGTGTGATGATGCAACCCCCATCGAAACACAAACTCTAATACTTTTTACTTTTGTTACTTCTAGAATGTGTTTCCTGGTATATATTACCCATATTAAGTCTTACAGGAGATACTAAATAAATTGACCAAAATGAAAACACACATTGATAATTAAGATTTAGTAATTAGATTCTACTTCTCCATCGAGTTAAACTCATAACATTAAATTTCATTTGACCAATTACTAGTATTTTTAAAGTCCTGTCCATTTATTACTTTGGGAAAGTGACTTAAGATTTTATTTCTAAATGCAGAAGCCAGATTTTTCTGTTGATTTAACTTAAAATACTAGGTGTGGTAGTTTAAGGTGGTGTGTCAACTTAGCTGGGCCGTGGTTTTGAATGGCTGGGCAGTTCGATATAGCTATTCTCCATGACAGAATTGTAATCACCTCCATACTGCAATCTGCTGTGAGCAGCTGAGTAGTTGCCTTCCAGGTGTGGCCTGCTTCCAGTATGTAAGGAGAAGCTTTGAGAAAGGTCACTTTTTGGCACACCTGGATCCTGCATCTAGCCGAGTCTCGGCATGCTGATCTTGGGATTGTCCCATTTTACCTGTCGATCTTGGGTTCATCACCCTAAGCAGCTGCATGAGTCAAAGAAAGCCTCCATCTCCAGAGGGCCTGGAACAGGAGGCAGAGCTGAAGCCCAAGGCTGAGGGACCTTCACCCAGGCCCTAGAGCTAGGAATAGTACAAAATTCCTTTGTTAGGAATAGGACTTTGAAGCAAAAGATGATGAACTACCTGTTGTGTGCTGTCAAGTCAGACCTGACTCATAGGGTCCCCTCCTTGGGTTTCCAAGGCAGTATCACTACGGAAGTAGATTGCCCAACCTTCCTTCCGAGGAGTGGCTGGTGGGTTTGAACCGCCAGCCTTC